TCAGACCATCTTCCCCTCGTCTCTCTCAGCCCCACAGAGGGCAGCACCGTCTGTACGGCCGTCAGACCATCTTCCCCTCGTCTCTCTCAGCCCCACAGAGGGCAGCACCGTCTGTACGGCCGTCAGACCATCTTCCCCTCGTCTCTCTCAGCCCCACAGAGGGCAGCACCGTCTGTACGGCCGTCAGACCATCTTCTCCTCGTCTCTCTCAGCCCCACAGAGGGCAGCACCGTCTGTATGGCCGTCAGACCATCTTCCCCTCGTCTCTCTCAGCCCCAGAGGGCAGCACCGTCTGTATGGCCGTCAGACCATCTTCCCCTCATCTCTCTCAGCCCCACAGAGGGCAGCACTGTCTGTACGGCCGTCAGACCACCTTCCCCTCGTCTTGCTCAGCCCCACAGAGGGCAGCACCATCTGTATGGCCGTCAGACCAGAACTCCTCGCTCCTTTGCCTTCCCTGCTGCCTGTTCAGTGGGGCAGCCACGCCTGCCAGGCCAGGGTGCAGCCTGCAGCTCCACTGCTGTCCCGCCTGAGGGGCCGCTCGCTCTCCTGTGGTCTGTTTCCATGGCCTCTCCTCCTTCAGCCCTGCTTCCTACAGTCTGTTCTCCGCCATCAGTCAAGGGGCTCCTTTGAAATGTAAGTACCTCGTATGCTCTGTACAGAATCAAAAATGCCCTCTCCTCTCACTGGGAATAAGAGCTACAGCCCTACCGTGGACCCCCTCACCTCCTGCCCCACTAGCCCTCATTCACTCAGCTCCACTCACACCAGCTGCTTTGATGTTCCTGGAACATTCCAAGCAGGCTTCTGCTCCAGACTTTAACTCTTGCTCCTCGCCCTGCCTGGAGTCCTCTTTTCCCAGGTTCCCATGTGGCTCATTCCCTAAATTCCATCAGGTCCCTTAAAGGGCACCTGACCAGAGAAGCCTTCCAGGCAGGCAATGGCTTATGTGCACTCACATCTGTTCCCCACCCTGCTCTCTCATGTTCTGTGTTTCAGGGAACTCTGTTTCCCAGGTTCCCTGCCCGCTGGCTTCTGGTGGGCTCAGCTCACAGGAGGCAGTGTTAGAAGACTGAGCAGGTAGGAAGAAGAGGCCAAAGTAAGTGTCTCCCTTCAGGCTGTGTCTCTGGCAAACACTGTGTCTTCTCTGAGAGTCCAGGCCCCACTAGGCAGCCCCTCCAGTTGGGGTGCTGGCTCCTGCTGGACAGGCCTAACATGGTGCCAGCTTCAGCGGGGGGCTGCAGCCCCTGGGCTCCGGGGACACCACTGCCTCCCTTTCAGTCATGCTGCCACCTATCCCTTGGGCACTGTGCTGTTCCGTGTGGGTTTGCAGCTTGAATCACCTGCTTAGTCAGTTCCCCATATTAAATTCCTTCTGTTTGAAACAGCAACTCGTCCTCAATAGGCCTCATAGAAAAGCCTCCCATAATAACCCTAAATAAATCTTTTCCACTCCCGTCCCTGTCACTCCATCCACTTTGCTTTCCCTGTAACTCTTATCAGCATCTGCTGGAGTTTATATCTGTTTCTTTGATTGTCTAATTCTCTATTGGAAGATATGTGACAAGCAGCAGGGCTTTGTCTGCCGGATGGGGCCGGCACAGGTACATGCTCACACAAATAAGCAACGTTCTTTCATTAGCTTGGGATACTGACACGTACTCTCCGTGTCCCAGGCACTAGACACAGAACAGAGTGGTGGGTAAGACAAGCTTTGCTATTCGGCTGATTGTTGCTCTGGCCATTTGCATAGGGTAGCAGTGAGAACCCAGCCCCTCGGGCTTTGGTGCATTTTAATTTTCCTGGTTTTGGTTTGTGGTAGTTCCATAATAGTGGAAAGTTACGTATATTAAATGGAAGCTCATCAAAGAGAGGGATCAAATCTGTTGCTAACATGCATCAGACCTGCTGTGGGAAACCACTCACCTGACAAGGAGAGGGATCATGGGGACCTTCTTGGAGACCTTGAACTGGCCTCTGTCCCCATAGGTGTCGGTGAAGTACACTCCAGCCACACTGGTCACCTGGTTCCCGGGGAAGTTGGACAGCACTTTGTCACAACCATGCTGACTGGCCCAATACCAGGCCTGGCCCCCAATGAGCAAGCCCCCTCCTCGTTTCACAAACTGGATCAGCTCTGCAGTCAGGGTGTCATTGTAGGCATTGATGCAGTAAACCCCCAGGGAATCTCCGGGTTCTGGCTGAGTTTGAGCCTCAACCCCAGAGCCCTGCAGGATGTTTACAAGTGGTGTCAGGGATGGGTGCACTCCCACAGGAGCCCCAGGCGAGGGACAGAGCCAGTGCACTGCATTGAGAAGAAACGGGGCCAACTTGGCATCCAGCAGGTAGCCCTCGTGGGACACCACTACCAGGCGGCCTCGGCCGTAGGAGGAGGCAGCAATGAGGACCTGGCCCTTGTCATTCACCATCACCGGGAAGGAAGCCTCTCCAGTAAGGAGGAGTTCACTGGGGATGGGGCCTCTGGGGACATTCCAGCTTGTCACCCCATCCATGAGGGCCTCAAAAGCAGCAGCAGGAGTTGTCGCCATGGTTCAGTCAGCTGCTGCAGAAGAAAGCAAAGACACAGCTGGGTCAGAACAGATGAGAGAATGAGTGAAAAAAATGACTAAATGCTTTCACACAAAAACCATTTATTGGGTTCCCCACTTGTGTGCTGAGCACTGGGGATACAGCAAGGAACACAACAAACAAGGTCCCCACTTTAATGAATCTAGTATTTTAGAAGAGGAAGAACTATAAATAAGGTAAATAAATAAAATGCAGCAATTAGTTACGATAAAATAAAACATAGTGATAGGATAGCAAGTGACTGGAAAACTTTAGATTGAGAAACAGGAAAGGCCTATATGAGAATGTGACATTGACACTGAAACCTGCAGTGCTGTGTATACCAATATAGAGGTGCACCAGGGAGGACGGAGAGAGCTGGGCCAGGGGCAGGCAGGACCCGAGTGGATGGGGGGCAGCTAGATCTGGCAGGACCTGGCAGATCAAGGTCAGAGATGAAATGCACACGTTGACTTAGCACTTTCTATTTCTTTGGATAAAAAGGTCAGATGACCTTTCAGACTGCATTTGTTCAGACAGCTTTGACTAAATAAGTTGGAAATAGCTCCTAATTTATCAAGTATACCTAAATGGAGAGTTTCCCACCTCTACGTGGGTAGCATTCTGTGGTTTCCAGAGGTCTTTTAAAATTCGGTGAGCCTAAAACCAGGTGCATCATTCCCTTCAAAGCAGCGCCTCTTGGATAAATCAGGCCTCAATTTCCCCACTTATAAAAAGAGAATACTATATCCCCTGAAGACTGTTTTTGAAGATTAAGAGGATGCATATATAAAAACTTCTTCTCCTGGGCCGGGTGCACAGTGAGCACTGAGAAAACGCAAGTGTCTGTCCCTCTGCTGCCCTTTCCAGCTTCTCTGGTGACAAGGGCTGTGTAGCAGAGCTCTGCGTGCCCTCGGCCCACCTCCGACTCACCAGCCGCCCCCGAGGGACTTCCTGGGCACTGGGAAGTCTCATCTCCGCAGGTGCACAGGGCAGCTCCGAAGCGGCGGTGAGCTGACACCCAGGGCTCTTTGCCCGTGGAGGGCATCAGGATGGCCCGAGATGTGGCCGAGTTCCTAGAGGGCCCCTGGGGAACTGAGCTCGTGTTGCCCACAGTGTGATGGCCCAGTGACAGGCTCTTCACTGCCTTTCCCTCCTTCCCTGTCTTGGGCCCCACTTCCTCAGGCTGATGTTCCGGGCTCACTTCCCAGCGAAACTACCTTCGCTTAAGTCGCCCACCAGGCTTTGCTTTGGGAAGACTCAACTAAGATGCCACAGCCTGTGCCACGTTTGCCTCCTTCCTTCCTGTCTCCTGTTTCCTTATGCAGGCAGCCAACCCACCTCCTTTTCATCGTTACTGTCTCTCTTAAACACCAGGCCGTTTAGTTTACATCCGGATCTAGACTAATCCAATCTGGTTTTAGTCCCCAGGATGCATTCTCATCTACAGTCTTTCTCAAGCCATCCAACTCCCATGTCTTCTTATTAAAACCCTGCCAATTGTGTCCGCTCCCCATCAGGTAAAAGCTGAGTGCTCCCCTGGATTTTAAGGCCTCCAGGGTCTGGGCTTTCCACTGTTTTCTAGACTTTTTTCGGGCTACATTCTCCACTAAATCTCTGCTAGGCTCGTCCTGAGCAAGCCCTGTATTTCCTGTACAATTCCGGCTCCTATTTATTTTACCTTACTTTATTTTAACTTCCCTTCGCACCTGCTACCTCTCTCAGTAATGCGCCCAGGGAAGAGAATTCACAGGAGAACCAATACCCAGGAGAATGTGGGTGAGCAGTCTCAGCTTTCAGGTTTAGGAGTGGGGAAAGGCAGCGAGAGGTCAGGAAGCCTGGGGTCAAGATCATGCTTACTTACCTCTGAGGAGACAAGGGAAGTCTTTCACTCATCCGGGCCTTCCTGGTTTTACAGGAAAAGCAAAAAACCCCGGGGACAAGTAGTAGGTTATTAGAAGGCTGACCCTAATTCTTAAGTGCGTCTACGCGAGCAGGCACGCACACATTTTTGTCAAATGCTTGATTCACCAGTTCAAAGAGCCCAGAGAAACGTGTTTTGGGACCTCACGCAAATTTAGACATTTAGCAAATAGCACCAGACTGGTAAAACGAAACAAAAGCCTGGACCTGAGAAAGAGACCCGACCGAGGGCACGTTCTCGGTCACGCTGCGGCGCCCGGCTCCCGTCTCCACCCCGCGACTCGCTCTGGCGGGCAAACTCACGCTGTGCTCGCGGGGGTCTGCGGCGCCGGCTCTGGGCGCTGGGGCTCCGGCGGAGGTGCGGCGGGCGGCCCGGGGCGGGGCTTCAGTGGGGAGGGGACGATGGGCGTGGCTCATGGGCGTGGCGCCGCGGGGTATTGAGTGGGGCGGGGCTAGGGGATCTTGGATGCACCCCTCCTCTACCCGTCCTGGGACTGCCGCATTGGGGCGGGGCCGGGGGCGTTTGCGGGGTGCGCGGCCCGTGCCCCCGCGGTTCACCGACCTGCGGGGGTTAGGGCGGAAATCTGCTCGCCCAGGCCCCCCGGGGGTTCTTGGGTGCGGGAGGCTTCTCTGCAAATCAGCTGTTAACGCTTGGAGAGGAGTGCAAACGCCGTCTCCAGTAAACCAGGTTCGGGGCAGCAATCCCTCGGCAACAACGTTACCCACAGCAGAGGGTCCGCGGCGACCCCTCCGCTCGGGCCGTGGAATGAAGCGCCCGAGAAACGTGGCTGCCGAGTGGTCGCCGTCCAGCGGCTGCTGCGCTGCGGGGCTTCCTCCCGGTGGCCAGCCGCGGCGGTGCACCCCGGGCCCGGGGAGACTGGCGCTGGTCCTGGGGACCCAGTCGCTAAAACCGGTTTGGGGGAGGGTATAGGAGTCAGACCAGGGAAACGCCTGCTGGGACGGAAACGAGCCTGTTTCAGCGCGGCTGCTGCTTGCATTTCTACCTCAGGGTGGAAAGGTGTAAACCGTGGTGGAAGAGTGCTGGGAGATGTGCCCCGAGATTGCAGAGCCTCGCCCCGCGGATGGCTGGGTTCACCTCGATGGAATTTTGTTTTCGGGGGGAGAGTGAATACAGGAAGGGGTGGGGCGGTGAGTGTCATGACTTGGGGTGATTACGGAGAAGGGGGCTACCACTGGCTATGCATGTAAATCATCGCACTGTTATAAAATTATCAGATGTGTCCCTTAAAAAAAGAAAAGGTTTTTGACCATCTCTTTATAAGCATTATTTCAAAGCAGCAGTTATTCTCATAGTCTGATTTAATTTTAAATTTGGAACACTCTTCAGTCATTCTCTCTTCTGTCTCGGGGAGGGGATGGTCAAGGCCATTCTCTTTATAAAGAGGTCTCTCCTGGACCTTGCTGTCCAGATCCCTCTCCTCGTATTTTCATTTTTTATCTCCTCCTGATTTCTTTCCTGGACTGAAAATATACGTTGGTTAAACTCCATTTCTCGACTCTCTGTATGAAACATGCCATTTCTTCCGTGCAGTTTACCTGGTCCTTTGCCAAGAATGAGGTTCAAACCTCGGCAATCCAGCTCCTGCTTCTGCCATTTCCTTTCCTTCCCAAGGTCACTGTGGTTTCCTCCTCAACTTCAGACTCCATCCTTACCTGCTGGCCTTCCGTGCTTACTAGGCATTAGACTGATCTTTCATTTTCACTCTTCTGAATTAACATAATGCTATATTATTATTGTAATTCTCTTTGGAGCTTTACCAAAATATACTTTCAGCATTTTAAGTTAGCTTTTTTTTCTTTGAGAATGGGGGCAGCTAGGAATGAAGTGTTGGTACATAATGTCTAGCGATACAGCCTCCGTGTGGTATGGCCCTGCTGGGCTCTCTAGCTTCTTTAACACGGTGGTTCTTCTTTTCTCCCAATACTCTGGCTTCTTGGATTTTCTTTAAGTTTGGTCAAAGTGCAACAATCCCTCCTACCAAAGTAAAGTTTCCCTCTTCTAGAAAATGACTTAAAATGACTTTTAGTCATCACTTTCCTAGAAAAGGCATTTCTAACCTCCAGACTGTACCAGATACTCCTCCTGACTACACCAAGCACCTCTGCTTCTTAGTTCTTACCCAGGTTGTAATTTTACACTTATTTGTATGATCCTTTGATTAACATGGGATTCCCTCATAGGGTCTCACGCTCTGAGTATAGAGTCTGTTTCCTTTTTGCCCACCATTGGGTTCTTATTGACCTAGTTTCATTCCTCATATGTAGTAGACTTTAATTTCTTTTTTTTTTAAATTTTTTATTAAGTTATGATTGATATACACTCTTATGAAGGTTTCACATGAAAAAACAATGTGGTTACTACATTTACCCATATTATCAAGTCCCCACCCATACCCCATTGCAGTCACTGTCCATCAGTGCAGCAAAATGGCAGAGATCCACTATGTCCCTTCTCGGTGATACACTGTTTTCCCTGTGATCCCCCACACCATGTGTACTAAACATAATACCCCTCAATCCCCTTCTCCCTCCCTCCCCACCGGCCTTCCAACACCCCTCCCTTTTGGTAACCACTAGTTTACTATTGGAGTCTCTGGGTCTGCTGCTATTTTGTTCCTTCAAGTTTATTTCATTGTTATACTCCACAAATGAGGAAAATCATTTGGCATTTGTCTTTCTCCACCTTGCTTACTTCACTGAGCATAATGTCCTCCAGCTCCATCCATGTTGTTGCAAATGGTAGGAATTGTTGCTTTCTTATGGCTGAATGATATTCCATTGTGTATATGTACCACATCTTCTTTATCCATTCACCTACTGATGGACACTTAGGTTGCTTCCATATTTTGGCTATTGTGAAAAATGCTGCAATAAACATATGGGTGCATATGTCTTTTTGAATCTGAGATTGTATTCTTTGGGTAAATTCCAAGGAGTGGGATTCCTGGGTAAAATGGTATTTCTATTTTGAGTTTTTTGAGGAACCTCCATATTGCTTTCCACAATGGTTGAACTAGCTTACATTCCCACCATTAGTGTAGGAGGGTTCCCCTTTCTCCGCATCCTTGCCAGCATTTGTAGTTCTTAGTCTTTTCGATGCTGGCCATCCTTACTGGTGTGAGGTGGTATCTCATTGTGGTTTTAATTTGCATTTCCCTGATGATTAGTGATGTGGAGCATCTTTTCATGTGTCTGTTGGCCATCTGAATTTCTTCTTTGGAGAACTGTCTCTTCATATCCTTTGTCCATTTGTTAATCGGGTTATTTGCTTTCTGTTTGTTGAGGCATGTGAGTTCTTTACACATTTTAGATGTTAACCCCTTGTTGGATATGTCATTTCCAAATATATTCTCCCATACTGTAGGATGCCTTTTTGTTCTGTTGATGGTGTCCTTTGCCATACAGAAACTTTTTAGTTTTATGTAGTCCCATGAGTTCATTTTTGCTTTTGTTTCCCTTACTTGAGATGCGTTCAGGAAGAAGTTGCTCATGCTTATATTCAGGAGATTTTTGCCTATGTTGTCTTCTAAGAGTTTTACGGTTTCATGACTTACATTCAAGTCTTTGATTCATTTTGAGCTTACTTTTGTGTATGGGGTTAAACAATAATCCAGTTTCATTCTCTTGCATGTAGCTGTCCAGTTTTGCCAACACCAGCTGTTGAAGAGGCTGTCATTTCCCCATTGTATGTCCATGGCTCCTTTATCATATATTAATTGACCATATGTGGTTGGGTTTATATCAGGGCTCTCTAGTCTGTTCATTGGTCTATGGGTCTGTTCTTGTGCCAGTACCAAATTGTCTTGATTACTGAGGCTTTGTCATAGAGCTTGAAGTTGGCGAGCATAATTCCCCCAGCTTCATTTTTCCTTCTTAGAATTGCTTTGGCTATTTGAGGTCTTTTGTGGTTCCATATGAATTTTAGAATTATTTTCTCTAGTTGGTTGAAGAATGCTCTTGGTATTTTGATAGGAATTGCATTGAATCTGTAGATTGCTTTAGGCAGGATGGCCATTTTGACAATATTAATTCTTCTTATCCATGAGTACAGGATGTGTTTCCATTTATTTGTATCTTCCTTAATTTCTCTCATGAGTGTCTTGCAGTGTTCAGAGTATAGGTCTTTCACTTCCTTGGTTAGGTTTATTCCTAGGTATTTAATTCTTTTTGTTGCAACTGTGAATGGAATTGTTTTCCTGATTTCTCTCTCTGCTAGTTCATTGTTAGTGTATAGGAATGCCACAGATTTCTGTGTATCAATTTTGTATCCTGCAAATTTGCTGAATTCAGATATTATATCTAGTAGTTTTGGAGTGAACTGTTTAGGGTTTTTTATGTACAATATCATGTCATCTGCAAACAGGGACAGTTTGACTTCTTCCTTGCCAATCTGGATGCCTTTTATTTCTTTGTGTTGTCTGATTGCTGTGGCTAGGACCTCCAGTACTATGTTGAATAGAAGTGGGGAGAGTGGGCATCCTTCTCTTGTTTCCGATCTTAAAGGAAAAGCTTTCAGCTTCTTGCTGTTAAGTATAATGTTGGCTGTGGATTTTTCATATATGGCCTTTATTATGTTGAGATAATTGCCCACTGTACCCATTTTGTTGAGAGTTTTTACCATGAATGGATGTTGAATTTTGTCAAATGATTTTTCAGCATCTATGGAGATGCTCATACGGTTTTTGTCCTTTTTGTTGATGTGGTGGATGATGTTGATGGATTTTTGATTGTTGTACTATCTTTGCATCCCTGGAATAAATCCTACTTGATCATGATGGATGATCTTTTTGATGTATTTTTGTATTCAGTTTACTATTTTTTTGTTGGATATTTTTGCTTCTATGTTCATCAGGGATATTGGTCTGTAATTTTCTTTTTTGTGGTGTCTTTGCCTGGTTTTGGTATTAGAGTGATGCTGGCCTCATAGAATGAGTTTGGAAGTATTCCCTCTTCTTCTACTTTTTGGAAAACTTTGAGGAGGATGGGTATTAGTTCTTCACTAAATGTTTGATAAAATTCAGTGGTGAAGCCATCTGGTACAGGAATTTTATTCTTAGGTAGTTTTTTGATTACCATTTCAATTTTGTTGCTGGAAATTGGTCTTTTCAGATTTTCTGTTTCTTCCTTGGTCAGCCTTGGAAGGTTGTATTTTTCTAGAAAGTTGTCCATTTCTTCTAGGTTATCCAGTTTGTTAGCATATAATTTTTCATAGTATTTTCTAATAATTCTTTGTATTTCTGTGGTATCTGTAGTGATTTTTCCTTTCTCATTTCTGATTCTGTTTATGTGTGTAGACTCTCCTTTATTCTTGATAAGTCTGGCTAGGCATTTATCTTTTTTGTTTATTTTCTTGAAGAACCATCTCTTGCTTTCATTGGTTCTATTGTTTTATTCTTCTCAATTTCATTTATTTCTTCTCTAATCTTCATTATGTCCCTCCTTCTACTGATTTTGGGCCTCATTTGTTCTTCTTTTTCTAGTTTCATCAATTATGAGTTTAGCTGCTCATATGGGATTGTTCTTGTTTCCTGAGGTAGGCCTGTATTGCAGTATACTTTCCTCTAAACACTGCCATGGCTGTGTCCCACAGATTTTGTGATGTTGAATTATTGTTGTCATTTGTCTCCAAATATTGCTTGACCTCTTTTTTTATTTGGTCATTGATCCATTGGTTATTTAGGAGC